AAGAGGATAGGCAGAAGCTAGCCACTCATAGCTCCATAGAGCCATACCGCCACTTACCTCTCTTCGCTATAGCATCCTTATTTACGTGCAGGAATTACTTTACGGTAAATGAAAGTGATAAACAATTAAACACTGGTTGTCTAGAGAGAACTATCTAGCACGACTGTTAGAACGAATCTTCACATTCTGTGTATCAGCTGAAGAGAGCGTCCATGATTATTCCAGTTTGGACTATTCAGAATTCATTTGCCACGTTGTAGTCGTTAATAACATTAAATTATTGCATTATAAACTTAGATTTCTGTGAAAAGTAGTAAACAACAATTGTACTGAGCTGCACGGAGGCATAAATTACTTTAGACGAAATTTGTACTCGTACTTCAAATTATACTCTCGTTTTTATATGAGTTGAATCGTTTAAGAAAAAAATTTAGTCACTGAATAATTGATTACATGGGAATCAGAGGTTATAATGGAGCTTTAATGATCAAAACAACATGGATCCACATATTATACAATGATGTAGCTTAACACTACACTGGACACTATAACTCTGAAATTTGGCATACATCAATTTTTAACAATTTTTAGTAAATTAAATAATTTTTAATACTTGTAATACATCTTTCAAAACTTTTAATATAAAGTCAACATATTTGTATAATATATATTTTTTCCATATGTCCTACATATATTTTATATATTTATACATTTAATTTCAATACTTATATTTAACTCCAGGCACACAGTTCTGTATTACAGAGCCCAACACGTTGCACCGATATGGATCCATATTAGCAGTTCAATGACCCTAGACGTATTCATATATCACTGCCTGATGATGGTCCCATGAGACCGAAACATGTGGCAGGAAATAAATATTCAGTTGTAAAATATTGATTGATTATAAATCACTTTGTTGTGATGACGGCTAACCTAAATATATACATTGTACATTTGGGACACTCAACAGGATGCATGCTCTGCTGATGACATTTGCCCGACGATCAGTTTGCATAGAAATGCGTTTGAATGGAAGATAGTGGGATTTAATAAATGTAATCTCTCGATTATTGTTCAAATTAATGCTCCTCGTGAAAAGTGATGAACACTGTACAAAGTTCACAGGTACCTTACTTTTGCGAGTGCAGTGGCCCCTGTTTGTTAGACATCCCGCGCAGTGAGACGCACAGCTCAGTGTATCTGTTATTCTGTGTTGTCAAGTAATTACTGTAGATGCTTGGATTTATGGCTGCTGATTTAATCTTATTTTTGCTTCGACGCAAAAATGGAAAATTTATTTGCTGGTTAATATTAAACTGTTTTCATGTCATTAGCCCCCTCTGTGGTCTAGTGCTAAGAATTCCTGGTTACAAATACAGAGGCCCCGGGTTCGATTCCCGGCGCTACCAGATTTTCTGAGAAGTAGTGGGTCTGGAACCGGGTCAACTCAGCCCCGTGAGGTTAATTGAGGAGCTATTTCAAGAAAAGAGTGGCTCTGGTCTAGAATCCCGAGATTAACGGCCGTGGGGCTGAAAGGTAAGGGATGCGGAAGAAGACAGACGGAATCAATATTTATTTTCACTATTACAGAAAGAGGCCGGAATCCCGGTGTTGAAAATGATGATCATGACGATAAATGATAGCAAGCATTACTAGAATCAATCTTCTCTCTGTGGTTTTCAGGATCTGCTGCTAATTTTTTTAATTATTCCTTGGATATTTACACTTGCGTCTCTTCGATGGATTTGTAGACCACGTAGAAATCACCGTTACCAACAGTACATCCATTATTGCACGCTGGCCGCTGCCTAGCAACGGCCTTTGTGTCGTTGTTTCGCGGTCGTTGCCTAGCATTGGGTCTATATGTCAAACAATTTAATTTTTTAATTAAATTAGATTATATTTAGACACCCGTAAGTAAGAGGACAAATGGCCCTGCTAACCCCCCCCCCTGTGTGGGTCTACATCCTGAACATGTACTGAATTTTCTTTTTTTTTTCACTTCCAGACCAACATACTCTCCAGCGTCGAACAGGGTTCCTACATTTTTACTCATGGTAGGCCTTATTTATATCTAACATCGTCAGCATAGCCAACAGTTAATGCAATTCTATAAGTTCCAGTTCCTCTTTGACTCTCTTAGACCCTTATGGAGAGGCTACTGAAGAGAATTTGAGAAACAGTGACGATGCACTGCCCTTTTCTTCGAAATCAGTCGAGAGAATAAATTCGAGAGGCAGTATTTGGCGAAACTTGAAGTAGAGTTAATGACTAGTGACTATTGACATGAAGTCATGAAATTTATAACTTGTCTTTGCCTCATTTACTTACTACAACACAGCCTCAACAAATGAAACTTCTTAATATATATAATTACCATAAAGTCCTCACAATGCAAGATTTATCTGCTTCTGGTTCCATTGGAGCATTTATTTAGGAAAGTATTTCTTTGTATGAATCCTTGTTTGAAGTAAGCATGACGCCTAACACGCCTGTGAACCCCGAGACACTTATAATCTCCTCTTCAGAACACACAGTAACCGTTTTGTTAGACAAGTTGCCGCATGCGAATGGCGCAACATTGATTTGTTAATTGAATAACAGGAGGAAGTGGCGCTATGAGAAAGGAGGTCAATTTTAACAAAGGCGCACAAGATAGAATAGAATACAAAATGTAATGCCGGAACTGATATTTCAAAACAATATTTTCTATACAAGTAAGGTATACATTGTCCTTCAATTTCATTTACCTTTCAGTATATCGGAATCATTTTTGACCGACGATAAACACACGGATATTTCTCGATCATCTGAGGGACTCTTTAGTTCGCAAGAAAGAATCTGCTTCGTGGAAGGAAGCAGAAATCAGAATTTGTTTCCTCGAGTCAATGATATGTTTTCTTGACGTGTAGGAATTCAACGGTTCTTCTCGTAAGGTTGGCTACACTTGTTTACAAAGCTCAACCGTCAATCCGTAACTGGATTAAAACAGTGTTCTCGTTTTCAATATTCGTTCTCTTTCTCTTCACGTTACAATTTCCTACCCGTGATAGTGACGGCGTAATAAAAAGTCTACTTGCACGTAACAAAAAGCGTTGCTGTTGGCTTGTCTTCTGTGACCTAACAGCGATTTAGCAGTTGCTCAGTTCGTGCAGCTTTGTGTCAGAAATGTGATTGTCATTATGCAGAGTTTACGAGGGTTATTTGTTCTCTTTACTTAACGACGCCGAAAGTATTTCTTTTTATGAAACGTCAAAAGAAAACTTTTGAAAATTATTATGAAGAGAGAGAGGGGCGGTATTTAATGGCATAATTACCGCCGAAGTTATGAATTATTAGTAAGAAGAAAGGGGACACGGTAAAGAAGAAAGATGTAAAACTATCCCTTTAAGAGGCCGTGAAGGTCCATAAGGTTGTAAGACGTCGAGGCTCCCACATTTTCTAGACAGTCGGTGCACAGATGGCGGTGAGGTTTGATTATAGGACCAAAGAATACCTGCGATATGAAGACCGACAAACACGAGTAGTCTGTCAGCCGTACCATACACTCAGCAGTACTTTTCGCGATGTTTCACGAATGAGAATTTGTTTCCATTTATTGACCAGATCATCATATCTTCTTCGTGATTTATAATTCCTACGTTTTCTGTCATGATCCATTTTCTATAAATGTTTATTTCCCTCAAATATGGGATAAGAATAATACAAATTTGTTAAAACGTGTCGAATTCTATTTGTCAATGATACAGAAATAAATGTAGTAGTTGTTTCATTCTTTTAATCTGATTTAATCCTGTGATAATTTTGTCAATATCTGATTAAAGTGGGTTTCAAAATCGATGCAGTTTATCTGCAGTTAAAATAACGCGCGGACCGAAAACCCCAATAATCTTTGTAATAGTGTCAAAACACTGTAGGACTCATTACGTAGAAAACCTGGTTAATCCAATGTATGGTTAATGAAGTATTTATAAGAATACAGAACCCGCGACCTTCTCTATACTACAAGCCGGAAGAAAGTGGGTTCGATTTCCGATGAGTTCATTGGATTTTTTCAATTGACCTATTCCTTCCAGCCGAAATATGAACCTGGAGTAGTCTCAGCCTCTAACAGAAATGAGTACCAGGAATCTTGCTGGGGTTAAAGGGCGACCGGCGCGTGAAGCTGACAACTTCACAGCCATCTGTGAGCATATAATCTACAACATGAGGGAACCTCAACGTCTCACAATCCTATGGGCCTCCACGACCTGTTACAGGGATAGTTTTACCTTACAACTGTTCGTTGTTAAACTCAGTGTTAAGGTTCGGCCACACAGAGCGCTACGCTGTGTTCGCTACGTACGCTACGTACGCTGTGTACACTCTGCGACGCAGCTAACATAGGGAACATAGCGTACGTAGCTTACGGAAGTCTGTGTGGCCAGTCACATTGGCAATACGAGTAAAGGGAGATATTTTTCTACACGTGTAGCGAACATAGCGTACGTAGCGTGCGTCGCGTACGTAGCGCTCTGTGTTTCCGAACCTTTACACGTGTATGTGGGATTGGAGAAAAATTTTCGGTTGATAAGAAATTTAGAAACAGACAATATTAATATTGATAAGGATATTACTATCTTCTGGTATATAAAGCCGTCTAGACCGGTATATCTTAAACAACGTTTCGGAGTAGCATACTGCTGTTATCTTCAGGACTGAAGAATAATCGGGACAGCTAGGAATCGAGAAGCAGGACGCAAGCAAAGCGGTGCGTCGTACTAACGACTTGTTTAGCTTACTCTTTAAACCTAAGGTGGAGTCACCATGTTCTTCCTAAACGTCCATTAACTTCTTCTGGACTACGAGGCATCAGTTCTCAGAAGACAATGTTCTCCATAGTTATCGCTGCGAAAACCTCAAATCTTGTAATATTAGCATTCAGTACGTCACAACGGCAGGAGTTGAGACCGCTTCATCCCGTGCTTTAGACTTCAAGATCTGAAATTTATTTCCAGAAAAGAGTGATTGGCTAACTATGAAGGAAAAATTTTTCTGTAAGCATATACAGAAAGCAGTTTAATTTATTTGGTATTCACATTGCGCGGAAGTGACTTCAGTAGAGGCGGTGTTTCTGCTGGAAGCACGACGTGTTGGCGCTTGAAACTGAAGGAGTTCTGCGAGTGAAAAACCAGAAATGTCAGGAGATCAAGATATTTGAAGATAGTGTGTGTGTGTGTGTGTGTGTGTGTGTCCGTCCTGAAGGAGTTGCCATGGTGCTGGAAGTTCTCGCAAGCGTCTCGCACTTTGCAGGTAAATTAGAATATTATTACTTTTCTTGTGAAACACGCGCAGAGAATTCAAGAGGAACTTTAACTATTTGCTGTACTGATAAGTTTCTCTGTTACTAATTTCCGCTGCTTTCTTTTTTATTCCGTTCCAGTCTTATGTGTCACCGAATGCTATTTCGAGGGCGAAGTTTAAAGCCATCTCTCACAAATAACAAGCATATATAGCCAATCTTAAACCGTTCCTTTTGTATTTGTTAGCTATATACTGGAGTTCACATATCCAGAATAGGTAACGATTCATGAAACAGAGGACTGCACATTTGTTCGTGACCTACCGCATAACTTACGTACATGCAACGTGTTAACGCTCAAGAGTTCGTTGCTATGGTAACCAGAAATTGCGTAATTACAAAGATTTTACCTCACCGTTACTTCACAATTTGTGGATAGGTACTTATCGTTATATAGCCATAGGGAAATGTTAATGCCAAGCGGGAAGTATTGGTTACATTTTGCACTAAACGCAGTAAATACCGAAGCAGTTATAAGAAATTTTGTTTAGGACCAGTCTAGTATTTTAGACTGACACTATTTTGAAAATGAAGAGAGCTCAGGAGAAATTTTACTAGTCCTCTTGCTCGACATAAGTTGCTTCAATTATGTAAATATAACCATTTTCAGAGTAAAAATGTAGTGGCATTAAAAACCACTAGATTAGTCATTCATTTATCTCTCCTTGTAGCATTATCTAGAACTGACATTTTCGTGTGCCCTAAAATATTCTGTCATCTAATAATTTATTGCTCTAAAACATTCTGTTGCGATGCTGACTTCGAGGAAATGTTGCAGTCATCCAATATCTGTATGTATAAATACGCAACTTCTTTGTTTTCTTTTTTTCTATCGCGAACCTAACAGATAACGCCCAAAGACAAGTACAATACTCACGGCTGTTACGCCCTTGTTGCTAGAGTTTTGGGGTTTGATTCCAGTCATATTCAAAGTATTTTGTTTTCAGTTAAGTGAATGAATTTTATTTTCTTACATTTGGTTCTGTTCTTTCTTAGAAGTCCAAGCTAATCTGTATTGTGATAATTAAAAGGAAAACAGCTATATTTCTGATAAGAAAGAAAGAAAAGATGGACATTTCTGCACGTAAATATATGTCATTCAACATGGAATTTGAAAATATTAATTTGGGTGGCTTAGTTTCCATTGTTTTCCTCATTTCTTCCAGACAAATACCGGGATAGCTCTTGGATTAGGCCACGACCTCTTCCTTCCAAATCTTTTCAAATGCCTCAGTCATCCTACTATCCGATGCTTCATAGTTTCGTTAATAAAAGAATCGTTTAATGCACCGCAAAAGAAAAGCTTTGGTGGATTCAGTAGTTTTGAAAATGTATGGGAGCAGTGCCTAGAGTGTCCTATTGAAGTGGACTGTAAATTGGAGCAGTTTGTGAATTTCGACGCTTCGATATGCGAGAGTCTGGCGAGACTGCACGGACAACAAACGAAACTAATGGATTCAAACCCTAACGTAGCAACGGCAGCTACTTCTGACGGTTATGTAAGACACGAAACGGGTGTAAGCGTACGGAAGGAATGAAAAGGAAGGGAGATTGGAGACTAGATTCATTGCGGGCTGCTGTGTGCACAGTTCCGTAAGTAGCAAATATATTTTTATTGACTGAGGAACTACATATTAATTTCTGAAGAGGGATTATGTGTTATATATTTATTTAAGACAGATTTGTGAGAATTGTAGTCTTTTACTATTTAAAGAGAGATCTATTCTTATTCTTTAAATATTTAAAAAACGTTTCAACCCAAAAATTCCCCCCTCGAGCAGTGTTAAAATCATTTCTGGTGTTTTTCCTACATGGGTCGACAATAAAGTTCGCGAACTAACTCATCTCGGTTAAAGTGCTACACACCTCATTACTGAATATTACTGAGGTCGCTTTCAAAGTACTCCTCTTTGGAAGCTATGCACCAATGCCAGCGCATTCCGAAACAATTTTGGAACTGGTTTTGTGGAATGGCCCTCAGAGCTGCCGTCATATTACACCTGATGTCATCAATGTCAGCAAAATGCCTCCCTTTATCTTCTGGAACAGAAACAAGTCAGTGGGGGATAGATCCGGTGAATAGGGAGGGTGTTCTAACACAGTTATTTGTTTACTAGCTAAAACCTCTCTTATAGACACTGCCGTGTGAGCAGGTCCTTTGGGACCATTTTTGCACACACCTTCCTCTTGTCAAGATCTTCAGTTAAGATCTTCCTAACTATTTTTCTGTCGATGTTCGCTAGCTCTGCTATGCTCCCGAAAGTCAGTCGACGATTCCCACGCACAATTTTACGAACTTTGCAATCTTTTCTTCAGTTCTTCTCGTTGCTGGCCGTCCTGATCTCTCTTCGTCTGTTACACTTTATCTTCTCTCAGATAAACGTGTCACCATTTGTAAACTGCTGTTTTCTTCATAGCATTATCCCGTAAACTTGCACTAACATCCCTCTGATTCGCTTCCACTGTTGCCAAGTTAGCATGAAACTTAACATTCGTTCCGACAGCCTCGCGACGGCACACAAAACACACTCAGACAATAACAGACGCCACTGAGAAAGAGAATGTCATAGATCAACAACAACACAGCTGTGAAACACTGATATACCAACGTCATCAAACCATGCTGAGGTTTCTGTTCACTGCTGTTACGGCAAGCACAAAATGGCGTGTTCGCGAACTTTATTGTCAGACCACGTATGGTTATATAACGACACACTATCGTATTTATGATCTCCAAATGAGAGAATGGCCACGTTTGTTTAAATGGGAAGTGAATGCGTCATAACGTATGTCGTAGGGTTGTTTCGGCATTCCTTTCTAAATTTCAAGAATTGCCGTAATAAGCGTCAATTATGATAAAGGATTTTCAGGCAGAGATCTGAAACTAGTGCCCATCAAACATTGAGTTGTAATTATCTATCGCACCATAATTTTCGGCAATCGTTTATTAAAAACCATTTGAAAGAGAACCTGGACGTACATTATAGCAACTATCTGTGTTGTAAACGAGATTCAGAATTCTAACGACTCTATCATAGTTCCGTTTCGGAGGAATATTTGCCTTAGGGAATGTTCGCATAAATAGACTCAACTCCTCCTTGAAGTCCAAGCATGATATTTCTCTTATCCTCTGAAAGCGCTAATCTTTTCGAGATAGACACGCAGAACGGGTCAGTTCTAGGAAAGATATTTTTGTGCACAGCTGCAAAGAAAACAGAGGCAGGATAATCTGAAATACAACCGAAAGTAAGTTGAAATGTCACATGACGTCTCTCTTCTCTAATCCCCCATACTGAGTTCCGCAATATGCGTACTTATGTATACATATACGTATTTCCTTCTTAGGAACATGAACTCATGTTATGTGTTCCGTGACAGACTGTGGAGAATTCCTTGACGCGCTGAGCGACCATTAGATTTATAAGAATTGTGCTCCTCAAGGATATGGTCCCAAACATCCCAATATAATTAACGTAAGAAAGGGTTGGCGGTCGAGGCAACAATATTTAATTAAATAAACCAAGGTAAATCTCAATAAGCGGCTTATTTCAGTGACTATTACATGTTTCGGCACCCACAGGACCATCATCAGGTAGTTAACTGAATGCCTAATATGGATCCATATTGGTGCAATGCGTAAAACTCATATACAGTAGAACTTGGTTATAACGTCATCAAAGGGACCTAAAAATAGTGTCGTTATAAACGGATGTCGTAACCGAAATGGGCACTTCCACAGTAGCCTTATGTTAGTCACGTAAAAATCTACCAAAAACCGAGTTAAAATGTTGCGTTTTTTAGTGAAATACTTAGTTAAGTACAGACTAACGTAACATTAACGTGGAATTGCCCAAATGTGTAATATCAAAGACATATTACAGCGCTTTTCACTGACAATACACACCGCACTAATACTGTATATTAAAGGTAGGCCTACTCACCAAATTACAGTAGATTACATCAATTGTTGTGCCTTACTGTACCTAGATACGAGTACAGTAATCAGTTATCTTCATCTGTTTCCTGTTACTTGCCCAATACACACTTTCTAAATTACGCTCAATGTCCATATCAGAGAAATTCAGGAATGAAAATGACGTTACATACGAGGTTGATGCATTTGTGCATGTCGTACTAAGCAAGGTATAAAAACAGTTGCTTTATGAGGAATTAGTTCGTACCATTGAATATTTGACGCAATAGACAAGGTGTCGCAGAAACCGATGTTGCTATAACCAAGTTTTACTGTAGTACACTCATGTATATGCCGTAAAGTTAAAATAATGTTGCACTCAAAATATGTCATATATTACAATTTTAGTATGAAGAAGTTATGCCCTTGTAATTCTGCGAATCGCGTTGTGTTACGCAGAGAGTGTCCACGTGTAGCAGCCACTGAAATAAACCAATTTTTTCGAACTTACCTTGGTTTATTGAATTAAATATTGTCACGTGTAGGGGTGCGCGTGACGGATATAACGGGTTCTAGCTCGGATGATTGGATTTAGTAGCACTTTGGTAACAAGTTCACTTAATCACGCTCAATTATAGCGCTGTCACTATTCTCCACACTTTCAGTTCGCCTTTGCACACCCACTAGGATTCACAGTCTTCACTAGTCGTCTCCTTGCAACGGATCTCAACACAGAAATTAACACTACTATGAAGTCTTGTTGTCATTTCTTGCTCAATCTCTCTGGAACCTCGGAACTCAACTAAAACTCATCTCAGCTGCAAGCGGACTCGCGTTATAGAGTCGAGGCACAGACAACGCAGAAAACACTATTCTCCTGTTACGTGGCTCGAACCATGCAGAAGACATGTCACGTGATTAGTACCCAGCTGGTTATTAGTGCTCTGACTGCTGCCTAACATGAATTATAATATTCGTCCACTGAGACACAGCTTCCATTGTTGAGTGATGGTACATGGTTACGGAGCCGTTGCCTGG